CCCATCCTGCCCCTGGCTGTGTTTTCAGGTTCAGGAAACAGGAGAGCAAGGGGGACAGGGCATTGTCCTGGAGGAAGGAGGGGCCTGGGGCAGACACCTACCACACAGCCAGGCTCCCAGAGAGCAGCCCAGGTGGGCCTAGAACCTGAAAGTCACCCAGAAATGTTCTAAGAAGATGACAGGGGCTCAGAGGCCTCTTCTTCTTTTACAGGAATTACGACACCCCAACACAAACATTTATTGCCAGATCAACCACAAAGCAGAAATGGCTTCTTAGTTTCCCCTGGGAACTGCTCCTTCCAGGGCCCTCCTGGGACCCCAGACTCTAGGTGGAGTCAGGAGCTGCAGCCTGAGCCAGAGAACTAGCTCTAAGCCCTGAAGATATTCAGGGACATGGACCCAGGGTCAGGTCCCTCCTGATTTCTGGAGACCCCAACAGGCTGCCCTGAACCCAGGACAAAGGCCCCCATTTCCCAGGAAGTGGGGGTTCCCAGGGAAAGTGTCCTGACCCCTGGCCCACCAGGGATGATCTGAAAGGATCTGAATAAAGAGGACTCATCCCCTCCTTGGCCCTTTTTTTGGTGAATGGTAATTTCTCTTAGCAGAAATTTCCCCAGGGGCACCTGGCTGGCTCAGTCAATAGAGCATGCTACTGTATTTTTTTTTTAATGTTTTATTTATTTATGTGAGGGAGAGGGAGAGCAAGAGAGCACAAGAAGGGGGAATGGGAGAGGGAGAAGCAGACTTCCACTGAGCAGGGAGCCCGATGGGAGGCTTGATCCCAGGACCCTGAGATCATGACCATAGCTGAAGGCAGATGCTTAACCAACAGAGCCACCCAGGTGCCTGGAGCATAAAACCCTTGATCTTTGGATCATGAATTTGAGCCCCATGTGTGACATAGAATTTAGTTTAAAAAAATAGTAAAGTGGTCTCAAGAGACCCCTACTAGGTCATTCCTTGAAATCTTAAGGACAGAGAGCTCCTGCTGAGGGAGCACCTCCCTCTGGGGGGACAATTCTCCTGACACGGGAGCAGGAATCTTCCGGTCAGTGCCTGTGCTCTGCTATGGCTCACCCTGCCCTGGGATGGAGTCAGGCAGTCTAGGACCCACAGAGTCCAGGACCCGGGCTGCCCAGTCCTTCACCTGTGCCCAGGGCTCCCGTCCCACTCACATCCTTGGGAGCCTAGGCAGCATTCCTGGTGCTGCCCCGAGAATCGCCGCCAAAGGGTGACATAGGGACATGCAGAAAACACACAAAAAAACCCTGAAGCTGGCTTTAGCTAAGGAGGTGGAGGAGCCTGGTTTCCATCCCTTTCTCCAACAGACACTTCTGGGTCGCTCCCACGTGCCAGTTCTGTCCTGCCCGCTCCTACTAGGGCCCTAGGAGGTCCCTGACCTGTCAGGGGTCCGTGTGCAGCTCCCCATTCCCTGCCTGGCACCACCATGGGGGAGGTAGGGTGACCATAGGAAAGTCCCCAGGCAGAGCACACAGGCTGCCCAGGATGCTCAGGGGCACATGGACAGTCTCAGGGCCACAATTCAGCCAACAGACATGGAGAGGGAGGGTCTCCTTCAAACCTTCCTGGCGGCCCCAGCCATCCGATCTCCCACCAGTCCTCTCTTCAGAGGACACACAGGAAACCCCCTTCCCACCTGGGAACTGAGCTCCTGAGACACCTGATCCTGGGTCTCTGTCCCTGGAAGCAGAGGCCGGGCTGGGGACACCCAAGGATGTGCCATGGGTCCCTCACCAGTCATCACCCGGCCTGCCTCCTTCTCACCCCCAGAGTCATCTCCAGGACCTTGCTGCCAGAAGTCAATCCAACCTCCCCAGACCTGTGAGAACACTGGGGAGACTGGTGCCCAGCTGGGATTCTCTGTTACAAACAGAAATAATCCCCTGGATTTGGGGACCCTGGGGCTCTGTGTGTGGCGCCCACAGACTCAAGGCCAGGACTCAACAGAGGCCAACTCAGGGTAGGGAGAGGGGCCAACCTCTAAGGGAACCGGGTCCCCCTCAGTCTGGCTATTCAGAGTGTGCTCCCCGGGCCAGGACAAGCAGCATCACCTGGGAGCTTGTTAGAGGCAGACTCTGGGGTCCACACCACACCTGCTGAGTCAGAATCTGCATTTTCACAGGGTCTGCAGACCCTCCGTGGGCACAGGAGAGGGAGAGGCGGCCCCACCCCACATCATGGGTCTCAGTCTGGCTGGGCATCTGCTGAAGCAGCATTTCTGGGTGTCACCTGGGCAACCACAGTCTTGATAAAGTTCCACAGGTGATTCCAACGCACAGTGGGGGTGACATCCTTGTGACAAGGGTTCCTGAGGCAGCGCCCAGCCTCCTGCTCTGAAGGGAAAGCCACACGGGGAGGAGAGAGGGCTGTGGGGGTGCTGACCCTGCACCTTGACCCCAGCTGTGGGGGTCACCGGACCCCAACGCCACAGGCTTGTGCTTGTCCAAACAAGGGCGTGTGCGCGCTCTCGCATATGGTGGGAAACCACAGCTGAAGACGGAGAGGCATCAGCAGTTCCCAGGAAACCGCAATGTAGACAGAAAGGAAAGGGGAAGAAGAGGACAACGGAGTCAGGAGGGAGGGGAGGGGAAGGGAAGGGAGGGGAGGGGCCCTGGCAGAGACCCCGCCCCCGGCCCACGTGACCCCGCCCAGCGCTCCTAGGGCCAGAGGCCGCTCAGCTCAGAGGGAGGAAGGACGGCACAGCTGACAGGACAGGACGGCAGTGCTCCTGAGCGTTTCTGGAGCAGAAGCTCTTCCCCCAGAGGGAGGGACGCACCGGGCAGCAGGCACCATGGAGCCCCCGTCGGGCCCTCCCCGAGGAGGACGCGTCCCCTGGCAGGAGGTCCTGCTGGCAGGTGAGACGGATGATCCCCTGCGAGGGGGCGGGAGGATGGGAGAGAGAAGCTGGCTGGGGTCTCCCGGGGAGGACAGGGCTCTGAGAGGGGACAGGGGAGCAGGGCAGGACGGGGGAGCCGGCTCAGCAACGGGAAAATCTCATGATCTGGAAGTGGGGAGCCAAGGGCTGTTTCCCAAGTTACTCATCACTGAGGACTGAATTCTGAAAACTGGTAACAACAACCAGGGACCCTAAACACTGCCCTTTCCCACCAACCTGAGATCTTGACAGACAAACGCCAGACTTGGAGAGCCCTGGAGCCACATTCATTCAGCCCCGGGTATTTGCAGCCTGCCCCACCCCTGGGGTACAGCACAGATCAGACGAGTCCCTGCCATCCCCGAGCTCACTTCTATGGGGAGGAAGACACGGAGAGACTCTAGAATGTGATGTCAGGTCCTGACAAGCACCAGGAAGGGAACAGAGCAGGGAAAGGTCAGAACGTGAAGACAGAGGGTCTTTAGAGGACGCGCTCAGGGCAGACCTCTCCCCAGGACCCCCTGAGTGGGAGTAGGGATCTGAGGGCAGTGAGGGAATGAGCGACAGACATGTGAGGAAGAGGGTTGGGTACAGAGGAAGTAAGCTCAGAGGCGCTGAAGTAGTGTGGTCATGCCCCTGACCTTGACCAGCAGGAGACACACACACACACAAACACACACAGATACCCAAGCACACTCACACACACACCCTGAGGCTGGGGGATTAGGACCTGCTCCTTCTCCGGGGCCCCAGCTTTCCCTCCAACAAATAGGTCCAAACACTGATCTGTGTCTTCCCTTCCCTCCTAGTCTCACTCCTAACCTTCTGGAGCCCGCCCACCACTGCCCAAGTCACTGTGGAATCGGTGCCGCCCAGTGTTGCTGAAGGGAAGGATGTTCTTCTGCTCGTCCACAATCTGCCTGGGGATCCTCTAGGCTATGGCTGGTTCCGAGGGGAAACTATAGAGCCCAGCCGTCAAATTGTATCATATGTAGTAGACGCACAAGTAACTACCCCAGGGCCTGCACACAGTGACAGAGAGACAATATACCCCAATGGATCCCTGCTGTTCCAGAACATCAACCTGAAGGACACAGGATACTACACCATACAAATCACAAAGAGAAATCTTCAAGTTGATCAAGGAACAGGACAGCTGCGCGTATTCCGTGAGTAATTCCTCTCTCACCTCTGGTGTTGGGTGGGATGAATTCTACTTCACACACACACAGGATGGACAGGCCAAGATTTGGCCTCCATCCCCCTCTGCATTAAGTCCCATGTGGGGTTCGAGCATTTAGTGCGGGACACACACAGTGGAGACAAACTTCCTAATATCAAATGCCTTTTCAGGAATCCAGACTCTGGGACCATCTGAGAAAGACCCTGCAGGGTCCAGTCAGGACCAGGCCTGAGGGGCCTCTGGGATCCTCACCAGAGCTCAGCCCAGAAAGCTCCTGCCCAGACCCCTGTGTTGGGGCTCCTGACTGTAGTGACCCTGGGGGTCTGTGCCAGGATGGGGTTAGGCCTCCTGCGCAGAGCTGCCTGGGAGCAATGATTTCCCGGCTGCCCGAGCTGGTCACCAGCCAGGGCTCAGTCTCAAGAGCCACATCTGGGGAGGGCAGAGCCTGGTCCTTCACCTGAGACCCAGTATGGACAGCACAGACACAGGAGTCCCCAGTCCAGGGGCACCTGTGTGGCTTGGTCAGTTAAGCAACTGCCTTTGGCTCACGTCCTGATCCCAGTGTCATGGGATCGAGTCCCGGTTAGGGTCCCTGCTCAGCAGGGGAGTCTGGTTCTCCCCCTCCCCTTGCTCATGCTCTCTCTCTGGCTCACTCTCTGTCTTTCAGGTAAATAAATAAAATCTTAAAAAAAAAAGTCCCCAGTCCATTAGCCAACTGCTGTGGAGAGCTTGGGGGACACCCGTGGAAGGGCAGCGCCCCCAGGAAGGAACAGAGCAGAGAGACGTCCTGGCTTCTCCTCCTCCACCAAGAATCAGGCCCAGGGCACCTTCTCTTGTGGAAACGAGCGGAATAGCCGCCATCTGATTGGCCAGCGGCTATAGACCAAATTGAGGTCAGGTATTTCAGGACGTTTAAAGGTTAATTCACTAGCATGGCAAGTAGAGATCATCTACCATTATTCCTATTGCATTAAGGGGAAACTGAGGCACGGGGAGACACAGTCACTGAATCAGGGTCACACAGACTGGTGAGCAGCAGATCAGAGTTACCCAGGCTCTGTGTGCAGACACAGCCCCGTCCTCTCCTCCAGCAGAGGGAGGGATGCTGGTCTGGGCAGTGACGGCAACTGGAGGCTCACTCCGTGTTTACTCTAGAACCATATGACCTGCATCAACAATCAGAGGCAGAATGATCCGGCCGACCCCCAGATGCCCAATCCTCACCTCCCTGTGCTGGACTTGAGATCTGATTGTTTCATGCTGTGTTCCTGTCACTCCCACTGGGGTGTCAGGGAAAAAATTTGCCTTGTCCTCCTGACTCTACACCTGAAATCAGCACAGGGTCCACGTGTAACAAACTCGGTTGCTCTTGCTTAGGAGGGAAGGAGTGAACAGTGTGGGAGTCTCTCCCGCTGGAGGGCAGGGAGCCTGTGTGGCCAGACCTCCTAGGATCCTGCACCCAGGACACCTCTCTGAAGAGGATCATTAATTCATTCACCACCCCTGCTTCCTGTTCATCTCCTTGCTCTCTGCTTGGTCATTGGTCTCAGCTCTTCCTGATGATAACAATGTTGCTGGACACATGGGCTAAGACGTTCCTGGTGCTGATACTACAGAGATGTCCAGGCAGAGCAGACACATGACTGAGGGTCAGAGGGGGAGGTAAGGGCCTCTCCTTACAGATCGTCACCTGAACAAAGACACTCATCCTTCTGTAGACAGCAGGGGCATCCTCTGGGGCACATTTACACATCTCGCTGGGGCCCTGGGAATGGCTGGCATCTCAGAGGAGGGAGTGTGACCCAAGGCCCCAGGCCCATTCTCATTCCATCACCTTCTGTGTTTCCCCACAGAGCCAGTGGCCCAGCCCACTGTCCAGGCCTACAACACTATAGTCACAGAAGATAAGGACTCTGTGGTCCTGACCTGCTCCACAAATAACACTGGGGTCTCCATCCACTGGTTCATCAATGGCCAGAGTCTGAAGCTCATGGAGAGGATGAAGCTGTCCTAGGACAACAGCACCCTCACCATACTCCCTGTCAGGAAGGAGGATGCCGGGAATTACCAGTGTGAGGTCTCCAACCCAGTTAGTTGCAGCAAAAGTGACTCCATCAGGCTGGGTGTGAGCTGTGAGTGACCCTCAACCTCTCCTCCTCCTCCCTGTATATTTCACTGGCAGGGGGTGTGTAATAGATGCAGGCCCGTAGGCGGTGGGAGCCTCCTTCAGAGCCTCTAGGACAATGTGGATAGAATTCCCTGGAATTAGATGAATCTTGTTAGCATCTTGTTAGCATCTGATATGTACCAGCTGTTGGAACTCAGGCAAGATGCTCAACCTCCTGAGCCTCAGTCTCCTCATCTGTAAAACTGGAAAGAACAGCTAGATCTTAGGGCTGTTGTGAGGGTTGTTAATATGAATTCATGAGATGAAATCCTGAGACGCATCATACACAGAATCAGGCTCAATCAAATTTAGTAGCTATTGTTCTTTTGTTATTAACGTTTTTGTTACTAGCTGTAATATCTCGGGGAATTGGGATTAAGTATTGTGTGATCACATTACAACTCTCTGACCTTCACTGATTTACTAAAGCCCTTTACATACTCGGATGTTCATTTTGCACAGTAGGGGGTGACACCTGCCCCCTCATGGGCAGGGACAGCAGCAGATGAGATAAACATAAAGCATTTCCCACGTGCCTGGCACAGAGCTGACCTCAAAAGCAGTCAGCTAATGTTATTCTCTTTAATTAGTGTTGAGTGGACAGGTAGGGGCCTCCCTCTAAGAACATTGATAGTAGGGGAGCCTGGTTGGCTCAGTCATTGAGCGTCTGCCTTCAGCTCAGGTCATGGTCCCAGGGTCCTGGGATCGAGCCCCGCATCGGGCTCCCTGC